AACGTTGACGTTTTGGACATTTACACATAGATGCAACATTGTTCATCAACATTTCCTAAACGTTGCTGGAATATCTTGTGTTACTTGGGCCATATGGGAGATATTGAGTATGTGGAGGGCTTTCTCCTTCTACAGAGAAGGGAGGCTGGCTATTTCCTTTCTATTTCTCTCTCGAGCGGGGAATCACTTAGGTCAGGAGGATTATTCACCCAATATTCCAAACGACGTTCTGGAGATCTTTCTCCAAAGATACGGAAAGACACGGGCACTTGAGCTGTGCATTAGTTCGGCGGATGCTCTATGATTAAGGGAAAGAAGGGGGGAGGAGGGAACTGGCAAGAAGGCTATTTCAAGGACCAGTCAGCGTGAAATAGACTTCATTCGTTTCCTATAGATGTGCCAGGGTGACCTGGAAATATTCACTGCCTTCTTAGCTGGCATCCCGCTAGACCTGGCCGAGGACAGGTTCGCTTCTTCCATCCCCCTTCCCCTCTTTTTGACCAAACACATTCCCCTTCTTCTCTTTCATTTACTCCGGCCACTGCGTACGAGCATTCTTCTTTCTAGTCTGCGAGCGAATGCGATTCATTCCACTTTCCCCTGAAGCGGACCAAGTGCTCTCTTCTCCATTCGATCGAGTTGAATGACATCAATCTCGATACGATCTCGCTTCAGTTCTTCTATGGATTGGATCATTTTAAGCAAGTTAAATTAAGATTAATAATGCCTCGATGCATCACAATTCTAGGGCTTCTCACGGTCCTTGAGAAATGGAGAAATCAAGGATTGAGACTTCATTTCCTGCACGTCAGGATAATAATAGGGAATTATTTTCAAGGACATTTCAATTCTTTCTGCAGGGACTCCATTTTGGTGCCTATTAGACATCGTTCCCATAAAGAATGAGAAGAGAGAAGTGGTGCTGTTCCTGGCCTCTCACAAGGACATCACGTCCACCAAGATGGCTCAGCTGGAAATGGGGGATTCCCAGCAGGACCCAGGTAAGGTCTTCGGGATAAGATAATGCAAAAATAAAGAATGAAGAGACTCTTCTTCACTTGGATCTGACGCACAACAGAGAATAATGGTGATGACTTGGATCCAGAATCCCCTCCTCTCAACTATGGCAGGAGACGGAGTCGAGCCGTCCTCTACCAACTTTCCGGCCATTATAAGCAAGATAAGATGAAGACCAAGCTCAACAAAATCAATAGCGTAAGAGTCATTCATTCTTTCATTAATTAATTTTCGCAGCTGCTTATCCCCACCAAATGGAGCCGCTGCACGAGCAAAGCCAGGAGCACCCTCCAGTATTAATGATCCTGGACTCGATATTCGAGCTCGGCAAGTGGAAATTACTCTCAATACCGGCCTTTCCTTCACGCTCTCAAAGTATTCCACGCTAATATTCCACTAGTCAGATTATTCCACCGTTAAAATGCCCTTCTCAACCAGCTTGTTTCTTATCTGTCTGGTACAACTCAGTCAATCACTCTTGAAGCAGTCACTTCTTCTGTCAGTGCCCAAGACTTTGCTTGTGAATTGGACTACGTTCCTTTTCAGAAGGGAAGAAACAAATTGAACGTGGACCCCTACATATTCACCTTCCGCAGAAAGAAATCATCAGGAGAAACAACTTGGCGGTATGATAGAATTGGATGCAAAGTCCGTGCAAAAGTGACCAATGGTCAAATTTTTAAGTTGGTGAGCGTTGTCATGCTCCTGATTCAGCTAAAGTTCACATCATGATAGAAAGCTGTTGTGACCGGGTACTACAATCGATCGACTGAAGATTTCCTTCCGGGGAATCGCACTCAACCTTCGCAAACTCGTATGAATCTCATGAATGATCTCGTGGCCTAAATTTTCGACCCTTTACCATGAGTCTTCGACATCATTGTCCTCTTCTTTTTCATTCTCCTATGTGACGCAATTTTTTCTCCCTGTTGAATGTGGTTCGACATGGAGAAATAAGATACATGTGAGGAGAAGTTCATCACCATTTGAGTAAAACTTTGAACTCTCTTGGAATGAAAAATCATATTTTAAACATCTTTCGGGTGTTTTGAAGGGATTTTAAAATATTATAATTACTGTGGGATATTTTAAAGGGATTTTTTTTGTCGGTGGGATTAAAGATTTTATCCGTTTGGGATCTGATCTGTCCTTGAATATTTTGTCGTCCACCTGGAATACCGAGCCTCTCTTTGCAAAGTTTCGCTTTATAATCCGTACACCTTTCGCGAGGCCTACCGACTGGTCTTTTGCCGGTCATTTTGGACGGGGAGACTTTTTCGGAGTACGGGAGATATGTCCAAACCAATGGGCTTAAGATCTTTCGATCCGGGGAAGTAGCTGCTCGACCTGGAGGTTCTCAAGGATAGGTGACACTTCGCATCTTCTCACACCACCGTAAGAGCCAAAATTTCGGCAGCTTGTATCCATGACCTGATTCTTCCGGCCATTACCCAGATCTCGTGACCATAGGTGAGAGTGTGGAGATAAACGCTCTTATAAAGCGAGAATTCCGCCTCCTTGGAAATGTCAGATTTGGCAACCACGATCCGCCAGTGCTCAAGCAAGACTAGAAGCCTTGGAGATGCGGCTGCCGATCTCGTATTCGTATCCCCCGTCACTCGAGAAACAGATGGCATGATACTTTAACTTCTCCAGTTTCAGTGGGACTCCCATAATACGTAAGGACAGTACTTCTCTAAAGTACAGTACTTCTCTCAAGGACCATAATCTGCGTTTCGGGGTTCCTAGTCGAACTGTTTTAGCAAGCTCTGAAGCTCCTGTCAAGACCAGGCCTAGAGGATGGCATCATCAGCAAGGAGAAGCATCTTTTATTTGATATCACTGATGTTGACCGCATGAATGCCAACAGTTCTATCCATGTACACGAGAAACAGGAAAAGATAGGACGCAACCCTGACGGAGCTCAACAAGTACGTACTGGGAACGAGTCCTTCGCACATCCCTTTCACTCGAACGTAGCTCCTGCAATCACTGCATAAGGTTTGAATGGCCTTCAGTAGCTGACCGACCGTTAATTAATCTGCAGCACCCTCCACAACCTCCCTCAGAGCATACGGCCGTATTCCTTTTCGAGATCAGCGTAGCACATGTAAACCTCTTTAGATTATTCCCAATCTTTCTCGGGAATCTGGCGAAGAGTCAATAAATGGTTCGTGGTGCTGCGCCCTTCGCGAAATCCACACTGCTCCTCTTAGATGGCTTCTCCAACCACACTCCAGCTCTCTTTTCAAGCACCTTGGCATAGACCTTATCAGGTATGCGGAAGAGAGTGATTTCAACGGTAGTTGGGGCACTCCCTCGAGTCTCCCTTCTCACCACCACACCGGTCTGCCAATCCAAATGTAGCGTCTCCGATTCCCATGCGGTTTGACATAACCTATGCAACCACGAGACCCCATCGGTTCCCATTACTTTCAGTGTCTCGGCGCGAATTTCATTCACGTCAGGAAACATTCCATTCTTTAAGCTAGCGATAGATTGTTGAACTTCCTCCATGGCGAAGCTATTCACGGCGTTGACGGGCTCCAAGGAGGGCATATTCAGAATCCGCCGTGGGCGGATGTAAATCCTCTTAAACACTTCCTCCTTCGTCTCGGCAGCCAAGATCATGCCGTTTCGGTCTTTCACCATCGAGAGAATATGTTGTCTGCCTTGCTGGAGCCATCGAATGGTTTACACGTTGCTTGCAGTGCAGTAGTCTTGCTTCACTTCTTCGCCGAAATTTTCTTTCATGCTACTCGTTTCGCTTCGGCGACAGCTCGAGCTAGGCACCTCTCTGTAGCACGCCTTGGAAGGGCGTTTGATCCACACTGTAAAAGACATATACGCCTTACAGGCTACCTCCTTGGCAGCAACAGCCAACCGTACCTAGGATGTCCTCCAGGGAGTCTGCTTCGTGTTACCGTGTGCCTCTCCTATTCGCTTTTTTTCCCTCTTCATGCTTTCGCTTTTCACCGCCGAAACGCCAGATCGTAATAGATTCTATTCTATTCTGCTCCTGGACTACCCTCAGGGCATCTTAACGGAAATTTGCTTTGGCCGGTGGCAGGCCGATCGATAGGGCTGGAAGTAGCACAACGGGGTCCGGCGCACTCTGAAGGATTGGATCGCTTGGCGCTGGTAGCCAACTTATCAATAGCGACCCTGGAAGCACAATGGCTATTGAGGTCCCGATTATTCTGGGCGACGACCGATTCAGTATGAAACTCCTGAGCCGAACACGTCATGCAAGTTTTGGTTCGTCTTGGTTACTCTGAACAGAAACCCCTGTAAAATGGTAGGAACTGGGATACAATGGCCTTCCGAATCATTGGGGTCCATCCTCGCGACGTAGACTTGAGAACCATCGAGGACAAGTGTGAGAGTTTAGAATTGGTCAGATTCGTTTCTCCCCTTCCCCTTCTCCTCCCTGCATATCTGATATCGATCTCCCTTCCTCGCTTCCCGCATAAATATGGATCGTTGCCCGTCAATATGAGTAGAAGTAGAGCTGGAAATCCTAGGGTTCCGCTGCATTTTCGCTTCGGAGGACGCTTGAGGAGGGTCATCGACCAATATTCAAATTTTGAGCCGGGCACTATCCGAATCCTTCCTCTGAAAGAGGCGTTGGGGTTTCAATGAGCGTCCACCTCTGTGTGCCACCAATGCATGCATACATTTTCATTGTCTGCATGATTACTAGGAATTTTTTTGCGGTTGCGCTTACGGATATTTTGCAGGATGACCGGACCACGTATTCCCGATCTTCACACTTTACACACACATACTTCACACTTTCACGACCCTCAATGTAACAAGTTTACCAGCGTAACACCATTGAAAGTGGCTGGCATTCATCGCCATAAACTGCCAATAACATATCGTAAATTCAGTTGCTGAATCTATTTTCCAACACGAGAAGTTTCATCATAATCTTCTGGTCCTGTGCGTTACTTCGCATCCACCATTCTGAATTCCCCCATAGGCGGTTACCTGAGGGAGTCGGTCGTCTGCAGATTAGAATATATTTGCCACAATACCCATACATCGATATTGCGAGTACAGTTGTCTTTTCCACCTGCAATAAGATTCATGTCCGAATGAAATTTGCACTCCTCATATTCGTCATTGTCAATGAGATCTTCGTTCATGGTTATGAAGTTCTGAAGTAATCCATGCTTCCACCAATTGGCCAACTTCCTGCAGATGCACAACTAGCCGGAAACAAATGTCTGAAAAAGTTACAAAGTACATATAGAGTTACAGAGAAGAAAACCAGTAAGTCATCAAGTTGGGCAACAATTGAATATCTGCATCATACTCTTTCAGCTAGCTCTGACAGACTGATACCTACATTAAGAAAATTGCCATAGAAACAAAAAAGGAAATGGACACTGAAGTACTGAATCAGGAAATTTCTCAGAATCAGATAAGGGAAGCAGTAGTGATCGGAGTGATGTTGATGCTGAACAAGGACAGTCTACACGTAATTACAATATCGCATCAATGACTTTAGTTGCTGGCTTCATATAGTGAACCTCACTGCCATGGATTCATTTGGCCTAAATAGCCACTTCTCTGAAAATAAACCCTCTTATTGCCCAGAAACGAGATAGAGGTTGTGCCTGGGGTCGGACTGGTCCACCGGGATGCTGGGAAATTTCCCGGGGGCCCTCCCCCCGTTTTTTTTTTGGGGGGGGGGGTTCTTAGGTCTGGAGCCTTTGGCTCCCCCCACCCCTCCAGTTTGGGGGGTGCAGGGGCTCTTGTCTGAAATTTCCCGAGGGCCTCCTAGGCCGCCAGTCCGACCCTGATTGTGCCTGCAGTTTTCCAGTTGCAATGTTTTCCAGTGAACCTATCATGTGCTCTTGTCTCCCAATCCTAAGGTGAACTACTCGAGTTTTTTACACTGCTCCAAGAGCAATGATATATCGTACTTGGCACTTTTCTCAGGGGTTAAACGATACATCCTTGTTGAGCACTAAGAGATAATAATGTATGGAAGTCGTTTTGCTTACTCCCACATTCCGCCAGCATCATCTTCCGTCAATAAATGAGTGATGACTCTTGGTTTAAGGAATACTGTATATACTGAGATAATCCCTTTCTCAGGCGGAGAGCTCCATCGCATCCTTTTCTATCTGGGGGACTGCTCCAGGACATTATTTAGCATAGATCAGCGTGATATTACGTCAACGTAATCCATCACATTATCCATAGATAAAAATATTGCTGGTGCTTATTTAATCATGTGCCCAGAACACCGAAACAATTGCTCTTATACTGTTCCAACTGTTTAGCATACCTCTTAATCATCATCATCACTCTACAACAACCTCGTGGTTCCGGAATAACATCAATGAATAGGGCTTGAAGAAAGTTCCATAAGACATGGCGCCCCTTTTTCGGTTGTTGTTGAATAATGCGTGTGTCTGTAAACAACGACGATGAGAGACCATTTTCAACCCAGGCAGCAATTCTCTAATATCTTTCCCTCTTTCCCGTATTCGCAACCGAGTTCTTCAAATTCTGTTGGTAGGAAACGACCCCCCCCCCCCCCGGAAGCTGCTGTCCAAGAATAGACTAGAGCTGTTAGAAAACTTAAGTAATTAAGTAATTGGAAATTTATCTTTCCGCAGAATCTCCTCCATTCAGCAGCACCACTTCCGGAGTACAAGACAGCTGCCGTCAAGAAATCTAAATTCATCCTCTCGCACTACGGAGTGTTTAAGACTTGCTGGGACTGGTTCGTCTTGGTGGCCACTCTTTACGTGGCAGTCGTCGTACCTTATAACGCTGCCTTCATTGATGACGATGATACGCTGTGCTCGGATGTCTTCCCGATCGAGAATCGAAGCGCAGACTGCAATGAGACGTGGCCGGCTGAATCCGGCTTTGACACCGACAAAGAGGGAGGGGGAGGGGAGGGGGAGGAGGAAGCGAACGTGGCAATAATGGAAGAAAGGGAAGAAGGAAGAATTGGACTACCGTGCAACGATTCTCGGAATGCATCATGTGATCATCATTCCTCATTAGGCGACCAGCCAGATCGACCATCTTTGGTCACGGATGTCGTTGTGGAAATCCTCTTCATTGTCGGTAAGTCATTTTCAAAGTATTGCGTGATTATGAGAAAGGACTTCACAGGGATGTGTGGAAGTTATCGCCCATTCAAGTTCAAGTGGGAAGTTCAAGGGGCATTCAATATTGGAGTATTTTGGTCACTCTTCGGGCCCTATTCTCCTCCTTTGCAAAACTTTTTTCCTCGAAGAACTTTGTAATTTCTATTCTCATGGAATTTTTTTAATTCGTAAGTTTTTTCTTCTTAACCCTTCAAGCTGGGGAACCCCTTAAACTTTGAGTAATTCAACTCAGGGTACCACTGCTAAGTAACGCACGAGGCTGCGGGTACGCACTCGGGATAACGGCATGAGGCGTTAAGGAAATGTTTATACTGAGAGAGTCGACGACAGGGCGCGTTACATTCAGCAGGTGTTGTGTCCATGCCCATCAGGTATGTTCTCTCCCAGTAGCGGGCTGACCATCACGAACACTGTCCACCTTTTCTCCATAAGCGGTCCGCGTATTGGTTGATGGGAGTCGCAGAACACCAACAGGCGATTAATACGTTGATACCAATGGCATTTTTGCTCTTATAATCTATTTTCCGCTAAAAAAAAAAACATTATTGAAGGTATTGTATATGGACAACGTGGGTTGACCCTTACCCAAGCCTCAGTAGCACATAACAATGAATCAACATTGATTGAGTGCTGATTCAACGTCCGAATGTTGATTCAATGTTATGTGCTACTGGGGGGCAATGCTCCAGCACTCTATCACTAGGAACGCATGCAATTCTGTATTAGCTTCGGGTCACAGGTGGCTCCCCTGACAGCCAACGTGGAGACGCGGAAAATGATAGCAGAATTGATTAGTGCATTTAGGGTGGCACAAAGATCCTGGAAAGATATGAAAGAGAAATGGTGCAATTCTATATACAATGCCAAGAGGAAACTTTCTGGGAAGGTAGTTGATCTGGAGGTGAAGCTCACGTTGGGTAGAACCAAGGCAAATGTGGATGGCACAATTTCACCAGAGCTTATTTCAGGAATTCCTGGTGGGATGGATATAGGATTGCTAGAGGTCCGGTTTTCACCAGGACAGACCGAATTAAATATCATTAGTCCGGAATTCATACATGGTTTGACCTGGACGATAGAAGCTTCCGAGTTTGCTCAAAAAGAACATAATATATACCGTATACGTCTGGATATAGGGCGACCCACAAACATTTTATTTTCAAATTTGCTTCTGTCAACCTTGTACGAACAGGGCCGCCAAAAGGAATTGTGGGGCTAGGGAGAAATCCCTGTGAGGGCCCCAATGAAACCTGTGAAACTGAACGGGGGGAGGGGGGTGGTGGTGCCGGCGTGGGGGGGGGGGGGGGGCCCAGGCATGGGGCCCGGGACAACTTGCCCCTTTTACGCCCCCCCTCTCAACGGGCCTGTGTACGAATGAAACACGAGCAAGACCGATCTATTTTTTTGGAGAGTACTCGGCGTTAACGAGTTTATTCATAAAGGAAAAGTCTCGTTTTTTACTCAGACCAATAAGGTAGATATTATTGGGAGAGGAAACTTTTCTGCGACATACATGGCACAGGGGAGAAGGGGAAGCACTAAATCTGGCGACCCTAAAGACTCACATATAAGACTATAGACAGGAGAAAGGAGAAAAATCTGCGAATCACCTGAATCTGTTTTATGGCTGACGATTTCTATTACGCAAATTATCATCAGTGATCACAGGCTTTATTCATTTGGGGAAAAAGCACTAAAGCAGCATCCCTCAATTCCAATAGCATCTCCATAACCCTGGAGGATTGCCTGCTCTATTGGAATTCAGAGATTCTGCATTCCGGCTTTTTTCTCTGAAGAAAGTCTCTTCTTCCCGCAAATGAAAAATAGATCAGTCTGGCTTGAGACTTGTCTGTTCAAGGCCGCTGAGACGAAATCGATTGAAGTACATTTGGAAACTATTTTAGGAAGTTGTTTCATATTCAGCCCTAAGCGGTATACTTTATATTACTTGCATAAATCCAGAAGTTTCCCCGATCCAGAAGAACCCCGGATGCATGACATCACTTCCGGTCTGTCTAGGTTAAAGCAACCCTGTCTACCCCTACATAATAACATAAATTATCTCTGGTGCAAGGGTTGCAAGTACTGTAGTAGTGTTTTAATGTAGCACTGACACTTGAGCCCCACGTCCAGTTCTCGTGCTTTCATAGCACGCTTCCCCTTGGCATAGCATTTTATTTGGCCCTTTTTCTTTTTAACTTCTCCACAGGATCATTGTGTCACCCTCGACTTAAAAAAACCGATTGAGCAAGCACTTTCCACGTCCACATTTTCCTGGTTTTCCTTAAAACAGATCCAGTACTTGAAGTATCACGTTGGCCGCCATGGGGGTCACGGGTGACCTGTTCTCCAAGTAGGACTACCATGGCACCGGTACCCAAAACTGAGTTTCATGAGCTGTTACCACTCCGTTTGAGAAACATTCCAGCCGCGTGTGCTGACGTGGCGTGAGAGGAAGTTACCAGTTTCCAAAGTCTGAAATCGAGTTTCTTTCATCGGAAAATTCAAGGGGAAAAGAGCAATAGTCTGCTTGTCAACGAACCTGTTAATCACCTCTTGGTGTTCTGTGGTACGATCAACCGAGACGCGAACTACTAGTGAATAAAAATTCTGCTGTGTTCAAAATACTATCGGGAGGGAATGCGCTAGATGGGGCATGGACATGGCTTCATAGTCGCTGTCAGAAGTCAAAATGTCGCTGGTTCTTTAAAAGAAAATGCTCGTATGATCGAGATGAGACAGGACTGCGTGGGACAAGAAGCTAAGAAAAAAAGGTTACCAATTTTTCATGAAATCGCAACAAAAAGAAGAGAATTCATTTTTGCTATTTTTTTTTAATTAAGAAAAGGAATGAGAATAGACTCGTCGGAGACTTCTTTAACAATAATGTCCAGGAGAAATTCGCTTAACCTAAATATCCCGGAACCTCCCGGGGGATTCATCCGGAAGTAGACTTTTACATTCTATTCCGAGGATGGTTTTATAACTTCACAGAATGCTTGTCAAACTGATATCTTTTCATCGCAATGGTTTCACTAACCGGTGCCTCTTGAAATCATTATTGTAGTTAGGGTATGGTGGGCATACCTGCTCATTATACGTTGGGTTGATGTTCTCGACGTAAAGGCTTAAAAAAAAGGACAACATTTTGTAAAGTTCCCTCAGTGCGGGGCAAATCTGCACGATATGCTGAGCAAGTCTGCTAAATACGGGTGGGTTTTTAAAGACCAGAGTTGGTACTTCTACTGTAGATGCACGCAAACGGCAACTACGCCATGTGTTACGTTTGGACTGCTTGCAAGCTGTTCGTAAGCAGTCCTGTCGTAAGCCTCAAGGTGGCAAGCGATAGTATTGCTGGAATTGTATGAAGTCATGGACCGTATCTACGAACGGGGTTTGACGCGACCGATCGTGTGATTCCGCTTCGTTTCTCTGTCACCACGACCAGTTACTTATTTCACTGTTTTTTTTGACTCATTTCCATGGAAGACGAAAAAAGGTAAGGAAAAAAGAATTTCAGTGAATGTGAGATAATCTCATAGGTCGTCTCGTGGGAGACCATTCAATAATTGAGGAGAGATGTCAAGATTCGGACACTTAGAAAGAAGGTGACATGGTCACACGAAATCTATATTGGAAGTCATTGCTTCTTATTTGTTTCCCAACCGCTCCATCTCGGACCCAACTTTGTCGAAATAGAGATGATTCTGTGTTGTGAAGATCTTGGTTGAACCTGAGATGTCTCTTGTGGGTCGTCATGATCCATCACCGCAGCCGAGATGAAGTTTAAACATATCTGACCTTCGGCCAGTTACCAAATTCTGGTACCAGTTGCGGCGTAAATAAATTATTATTATAAACAGCGCTATTAAATATTTTCTCGAAGAAGTGGCATTGCTTTCACTTCAGCTTTAGCAAGAAGTTACCAAAGGAGTGCCCTCCTTTCGGTAACTTTTCGAATAGGCTGAGATTCAACGCCCAGACTCCTCATCCAAAATTCCAACCATCGTATCTTAAATATTTTCTAAATTCAGTTATTTTTCTCCATTTTCCTCCATTTTTCCCTCCTTATTTAAAAAAAAAGAAAGAAAAGATTTCTGACTGTTTTTGACCTGAAGCAAAACAGGAAAAGACTATAACACGAACATAGGTGCAGTGATTACCTCGACACACGTGGTTCGCAGTCTCGGAGAGAAAACGTGAACCAATGAAATACCAAACGCTTGGTCACTGCGTCTTTTCTTCTTGTTCACTTTATCTTCAAACTCTCTGAAACATAGTGGAAGTCATGATTAATTTGATATACAGCTACGTACAATCACATTTGCCATATTAAAAAATGAGATAGAACATGATTTTTAAAAAGTAATTTTTGCAATTACAGCATCATTTGTGAACTGAGTCACTCCGGTGCCGGACGTTGGAGTCGAAATGTCTTTATGATGGATCAGGATTGCCGTTGAACCTTCATTCTAGTTGTTATTTGCGAAAACACACTTGCCTCGTGCGCAGACTTGTCCAACCATACCCTATTCATGTGGCAGGGTGGAATAACTATTTTGACTTGCGTCATATTTAGAAATGGTTGGAGTACTCCCGTTCTATTTACAAAATTAGCGCAAGGCTCGCTCTGATTGCCTTGAGAATCGACAAATGTAGATTAGGCCAACGCCTAGATGGTCCCAAAGTTGCGAAGGTGATCACATCACACTTAAGAATCCAAATATCGTATTCTCTTGTTCCTTCCGCTCATTGCCTCAACCCTAGAAGTATCTGCTGAACTGAATGAGAAATCTAACAGACTAGCAGTCACCTGAGTATATTGAGAATAGAGTAAATATGAAGAGCCTCTTGTTTCTTTCGTTCCAACGGCTACAACGATCGGAATATAAGAAAAATCGGAAAAACGGAATATGAAGGAGCTGTACGTAGATTCTGACAAGGAACCGTTTGGTGAAGATGAATGGGCAGCACGTATCATTGCTCTCTATTCATATATACCGACTGATTCTTCGCTTGAAAGGTATCTATATTTAGAGATGCGTTCTACTCTGGATCGAGGATGAGGGTAGTAGCAGAAAATGGTAGAGTTCACGCATCTCATTGACTTCATTCTCTGTTCCAGACATCATTCTCAATTTCCGAACAACTTACGTGAACAAGAAAGGTGAAGTGATATCCCATCCAAAATACGTGGCCGTGAATTATCTCCGTGGATGGTTTATCGTTGATCTTCTCGCAGCCCTCCCATTCGACCTCCTCAATGCAGCCCATGTCTACAGCAGGGTGAGTTGATGCATAAACCTCTAGGGCCTAGACCGAAAAGTCTCTTAGATCCTCTTGCAATATCGGCTCAAAATCCAAGTTGCTTAGTTACTTATCCAAGGGGGTGTCCTCTGTCCTTCATAAATTCGCTACATGATCGTCGTGATTAACCGACCATGAGCCTCTGCTTCTGCCTTTGCCTTTGAAGGCCTTTTCCTCTTCATGATTATTCGTAAGTAAAGGGGAGAGAGAGGAACGAGGGCGGGTTCCCTCGAGAAATCCCTGCTTTCAGTGAAATGAATTGCGTCTCCAAATTCGCACGTGGACTGCAAAATTTCCATCAATACTTCGCTCACAACATGTAGAAATATGAACTTATAGCAAAAAAAAGACGCCAAGAAGTCGAAATACAGAATTATTGATTAAAATAGGTAAACGAGATAGAATTAGTTGATAGGAGTAAAAATCATAGGATTAGGCTGAACGGGGAAACGGTGCATGTACCACTGGCTCCACCAATATTGTTGAGTAGTCACGCTTCACTAATGATTCAGTAGGGGGTGTGCCTTGAGCAGCAACGCACCCACGCGACCTATCGGCGTTGGTTCCGCACCCACAGCCAACTGTCACAGCCGACAAGTGGCATGGTCTGCTGGTATACAGCGTCCTGAAAAGATGACTTGGACTACCTGTATATGAAGAGTGCTTGAGTGATTCCCCAAGTGGCACTTGTCGTGCCTGTAGGATGATGCCGATGACACTTTTTCCTGGACGGACGCTCGATGTGAAGGGGTAGGGTGAACCGACTTGAATAGAACTTGAATAGAACCGACTTGAATATCATCGCAGATTTAAATTCAATTTAATATTCAATCAAAATATATTCATAATAGCGAACGGTCATAATCCCAGGTCCCTCCGGCAAACGACGGCCGAGAGGGCTGATACTATTGCCATTGCTAATGCAATGAATAAAGTTCCCCTCCCCGTGTCATTTTCTTTTACCTCTTTCCTGAAGAATTTATTGATGATTCAAATTAAAGCTTAAAAAGAGGGAAAAGTCTACTAATCGATTTATTTAATGAGCATATTTTATCAGAACAAAACTAACGAATTCTTTTCTTTAGACTCCAATCCCACAAATCCCACGAGGAAGTTAACATCTGGGAGCTGGGGACCATTTTTTCCCAAGTCGAACATTTTAGCCCTCGTTTGACGCAAAGACCTACGATTTTGACTACTCGCTACTCACTACATAATCTCGATTGCATTCCTAATTGCGGCGAATTCAAAGGTGCTCAAAAGCAGACTATTAACACATTTGTGATGGACCAACCCCAATGAATTTTTTCACATGCGCCATGCGTTTAATCTCCGTTCGCAGCGTTATTTCGTTTTGTTCGGAAAATGACTTTTAAGGTCTACGTTTGAGAATGATCACCCACGGTCTCGTGGATGCAAATGCAAATGAGAGATTTCATCTGCTATGCCTGCTGATTCCATTTGACTTGTGTCTGATTCTCATAACGTCGAATATGACCATAGCCTCAAAGGTCAATATCTTATATGGCCTCACATCTGAGAATATGGCCTCACATCTATTTTTGAGGTACACTTCAACCAATGTTCACGCTTTTTAACTTCGAATGTAGAATTATTTTGGTTAGCTGCCTCACTATAAGGACTTTCGTTTTTCCTACGAGCTAGCAGACCGATATGAGATACGATTACGCAGCTCTACTCTACTCTACTCTACTTATTCTAGTTATCAGAATCCTATGCACTATATACCTAGGCACGGTTCTCCGGATAATGGAAAGACCGTGTTCTCATGTGTCGGACGATGAAACATCGAGATCTCCCAACGGGGTTCCCCCCCATCAACCAATAACGTAGGTCCCGGTGTCATAATGATGTGCGCCTCTTAGAGAAATATACCCGACACGAATGAGGTAAAGTAAAATAATTCTGATATGCTATCGTTGCCCTATTGTGTAACACCAGGTGCCTCGTCCTGGTTTCCCATTACAGATAGCAGACAGGCTGTAGCGTCTTTTATCAGATTTGCATCTATAACGTATGTGCATCCATGTCGTCTTTGCTCCCCTTTCCAGCATTTGCGCGTCTTCCTCCTCCCTCGCTAACTTTTTACTGACGCTGTTGACGTTGGCTGCAAACACCTCGAATCCCTGCTTGTTGCTCAGAGCTTGATTAGCACTGAATACTGGCAAGGCTTGACAACTGGACAGATTCGAAGAATTCATTTCCCCGGAAGAAGGGGGAACTCAAAATCGAGATTTCCAACCAGTCTGGTCTTTTTGCGTATCTCGCATGGAAGAGAGAGAGAGACAAATCAACGGCACGTTATTGGGTGGCCCAAATTCAAATAATCCTCTGTAGGATCCACTGGATCAGACTGGATTATATAGATAGTATCCATAGGATTCCGCTGGATCATATGTGATAGTGTAGGGGTGCACAGTCCAAACGCCCACTATAACTGCAGCTGCACCCAGCACTGGCACCAGACCGTTGCAGCCGGAAGTATATGCTTAGGTATACACATTTCAAAATACTAGCATTTCGTTATCCCATCCAGAATTACCCTCCTAGAACATCCGTTCCTTCACGTGTTGCTTCTTGCTTGTTTACGGATTTGAGCACGAGTCCCCATACCCTCATCCCTTGTGTTCTTGACGACAGAATTCCCAGATTCATCTGCTGAAGCTGACGCGCCTCTTGAGGCTGGCACGGTTGCTGCAGAAGATGGAGCGATATTCTCAATACACGGCATTGGTGCTAACGCTTCTCATGCTTTGCTTCGCTCTGGTTGCTCATTGGCTTGCCTGCATTTGGTATGTGATCGCCAAGAGAGAAATTCTCGTTCACGGCAAGAACTGGAATATCGGTGAGTTTTCTCGCGTTCTGTCTCCGGTCGGATTTATGCCTGGCGGCAGAGGGGACGGAATGAGAAAAACGGAAATTGACAGCTTCTTTTCTGAAGGAAGGATGCCTCTGACGATGAGAGGTATCCGTCAGGAGCCTCTGCGGAACTTCCGTCACTATGATATTTTCCTGTTGGCGGACGAAAACATCATACGTGTTGTGCCGTTCGCACACAACCCCGGTTCGACCAAAATTATCGTGGAACATTTGCTGGAGTTGGCATAGGCTTTCCTTCCCTTAGCACGGCATTTTCTAATCATTGAGCTTGATCTTCACCGCGGGACTAGTGAAGACAAAAGTACGTGACCCCTGATATTTGCGATAGTGGCTGGCGGCAAGAAAGAGCCGCTCCACTCGCTGGTCCTTTCCATTTCTCTCCCGTTCCGTTTCCCGCCAAGTAATCAATCCGCCTTTCCTCGTTTCTCCTGAAAATCTTTTATGCAGGTCAATTTGGAGAATGAAAGGGCTGCTCGTTATTATGCCATGTGATGAACATTATCAGGAATCTCCACTTTCATTCGAGAATAAACGGCGAGCAACAGCTGTTAAAGGAAGACTCGATCAGGAAATGCAGAGAAACCCGATTTATTGTCAGAGAGGAGGCTACTGTAAGGGGAAGAACTCAGGATCAGATACGTTTATGGTTCTTCCGAGCCCCGGTCGATTGAAAATTCAGTCAGAAGAGTGCGCCTCTCGAGACGCAATCCTCTCTGTCGCTTCAGGCACACTGAATGTGACATTTTTACGCTTAAGATTGCTCTCTAAGTTAGCTATAAATGGTTATACCTTCTGAATCTTCCCAGGAGAAGAAAAAATAAGTTCATGGACACATTGTATTGGTATGCCGACATACATGGGGATGACATGAATGAATTCGTTTGTCTTTCCGCGTCTCGTCCACAGGAAAACGGGAAGATCGGTTTCGCCCTTTTGGATGGATGGGTGCTTGATTGTTCCAAAAAAATCTCGGAAACTATGAAGAGTTTATGATACCATTTTGGCATACTGGAAGATCTAGTACTACTACTGAGCAAACCATGATTACGTTTTAAAATGTTTTTGGGTAAGCCAAAAGCATAGTTTCTCCCCAAGTTTTTTGTTTATTTTGGTTTTATTCAATAAGCTCACTAAAAAGAAAAGTCTGATCGACAAAAGGAAATGTAGTGGTCAGAATTCAGAATGTGATTGGATGTTGCTCGTTGATGTGATGAGCTGAATCCCCGCTTGATCGAAAAAGAGACCCTGTTTGGCTGCACTTAACTAACTTGTTGAGAATATCATTATAAATGAAATATGTTGTCGACATGAACTTGCTCTGTGCGCGTAGGATGGATTCATGCCTTGGCAGAAAGATTGGAAATGAAGATGGAAGATGTCACAATAGCGGAGGCGTATATCACGGCCTTGTACTTCACGTGCAGCAGCCTGACCAGCGTGGGATTCGGCAACGTTTCCGCCAATACGATCCCGGAGAAGATTTTCAGCATTTGTACCATGCTTATTGGCGGTGAGTCTCCCTTATGGCCTCTGCCTGCAGTCATGATGGAACCGGTTAGAAACAGACCGCGGCTGTCCTTGCAGCCTTGATGCACGCCGTTGTGTTCGGCAACGTGACTGCCTTCATCCAGCGAATGTACGCTCGGCGCAGTCAATACCAAACGAAGCTCCGAGACCTCAAGGACTTCCTTCATCTTCATCAGATTCCGAAAGAGTTGAAACAGAGGATCCAAGATTATCATCAGACCATGTGGTCCCTCAATCACGGTATCGATATCCATGAGGTGAGTCCGGACGTGTCAGGCCCGTCAAATAGGAAGGGAGAATGAATAAGGTAATCGAACTTACCCAGGTCTCGTGATTGAATTTTCATTATCCAGAGAAGGGAGCAAAAGCCAGGATGTAGTGATTAGAATTCCTTAATGGAAATGTCGTGATGGTGATAATGAATCTTTTAAACGTGGATAATGACTTCCTGACTCTCTTTCTCATCCCTCTGTCTTCGCCCTCATTTCTTCCGTCCTCTTAAACAAAAGTACTCTCCTGCCTGTTTGAGGAACGTTCATGTCATTTGGGGCTGGAATAAAAGACAAAAGAATTTCCCCAAAGACCAATAGTGATGAGATGAGATTTCCCCTAACATCTCTCTGCTCTGAAATTTCTCCACAATAGCATGCAATTTTAGATGAATGACTTATTACTAAATACGATTTTTGAACGACCTATTTCGGCCGGGGAAAAATTTATGTAGCTTCCTAATTTCGCTCATCCATGATGTTCATAGAGATTCAAAGGAACTCGCCTCTTTATGCGCATATTAACATTTAAAAATATCACGTCCGTGACGTAAAGGAAGATCTTATTCTCTCAAAATTCTTCATGTTCCCTTCGTATGCAGGAGCATTCCTTGAGGGGAAAAAGACCTGATTGCATGGAGATGAAAGGACTTTTGCAAATCTACGTCTGAATATCCAAAAGTTATAGCTTTCCGCATGGGACTTTCCGCGAGCAACATGTACAGCAGTGTGACTTTGGTCATGATATTGGCCTTTCGGAAATTCCAATATTTTTCATGCGTGAGATCGAAAGATGCGGTGAACGCCCATACTGGAGTCTTGCTTTTCTACTGACTGCAGGTTCCGAACTCACATTCCGTCTTCGTCCGGAACAGTGGAGAGCAGCAACCATTATGAACCGTAATTGTAACAGCTGACAATAAATCATTATTTGTGGGTATGATATGTCTGGAAAGAATGCTCTTATCACAATGGCTGAGGAAATCATTTAATTCCAGCAACAGTCGTCGTTCATTTAAGCACTTTACATCTTTTCACTTGCATTGATGGAGTGCCGCAATGATCAACGAAATTAACCCCGAGAGTTTCAGTTCCACCCCCGAGACCGATGATCGTCACTGAAGTAGATCCCACCATCATATCGGGAAGAAGGCATTAGAAGCCGATCTCGATTTGTCTTCCTGTCTGCAAAGAAGTAAAGAAGTTGATCTATCGCGGAACTCTAGGCCTAATGCCATCTAATCGATACGTCCTGTTCTCCGATCTGATTCAGGCCCCAAGCCTCTGTCTAGGCCGACATAGAAAGCCTCTCGTACGTTCTCGAAAGTTGATCGGGTTCTCAACTCCTCTCGACGCCGAGAAGAGTCCTTGTCGGGGTCGGCTCTCTTTCCTTTCACACCGACAATGCATGTGCACGAGAGGTGTATTGGTCATTCCCCAGGCTCTCCACTGACGAGCGAAGAAAGTGGAACAGGAACCCATGCGTTAATTGCATTACTACTTTTTGCAGGTTGAGTGAATTCCATCCACCACCCTGCATCATCCTTAGACTTCATTTACTCCTTCACAAATCCTTCACGCTCATAAATGAACGTGGAGGATTGAGGGAAGCAGATTTCCTTCCGGCTTTTCGTAATGCATTTTACATAGCGGTCGTAAAAACCTCGTAAACCATATCTTAAAGTCATTCCATCACGGTTCAGATCTCTGAGAACAGAACAGAAGGATTTCACCTAGCCAAACGAACAGCAGATAGAAAATATTTAGAAGAAATATGGAAAATTCCGTGTTTGGAATCAAGGAACGTGTAGAAAGCTGTGTCATATGGGCTTAATAAGGCATGGTTCTCATCCCATTCTCCACAGCTGACGAGATATTCACGGTCGAACGGAAACAGAATAATAAAAAATCTCATTATGCATCCATCACGGATGTTGGCCTCAGAAAAAGGTCCCGGTAATGTTGGCAGGTAGAAGGGAAGAAGTAATGAAGGAGATGGGATTGGGAATGAGCGGGCTTAATTGAGTGCCTTCTACATGCGTGTGAGAAGACTTTAATGATGGAAACAGAAAAGAACTCTTTCCTCCTTTCCTAGTGAATGAAAATACTCCCTTTTTGTCGCCTTGTTTCCCTACGACGAAGCCTCTCCTGTAGATGTCAGTCGGCCTCTTCCCTCCTCTTCCTCTTTGAAACGTAGGCCTAGAGAAAGAGATTCGATTAACAACTTCCTTAGTGCGTATACAATTTTTGGCTTTCACCCAAACGTTCCTGCCTCGTGTATAAATTATCTACGATTCTCCTTGATTTCTTACACCAGGAGAGCCCAGAATGACATATCTTGTATTTCGAACGGGATAGGCTCTTCGAGAATTGCCGGAAGAATTGCGTGGGGACGTGAGTATGCACATTCATCGGGAGATATTGAGCCTGCCGATCTTCGAGACGGCATCACAAGGGTGCCTCAAGTTTCTGTCCTTGCATATCCGCACCAATTTCTGCGCTCCTGGCGAGTACCTGATCCATAAAGGAGATGCTCTTCAATACATCTACTATCTGTGCAATGGGTCCATGGAAGTCGTCGACAACAACATGGTTGTCGCCATTCTCGGTGAGTCTACTACCGATGCATTGAGTATCCGAACGATCGCAAATCTTATAATCCCCCCCTGCTCTTTCGGATCTTAACGTTTGAAAGGAAAATTTTTTAATGGAATGAGCCTAAGGGGCAATGGAACTGGGTATACGGTACGGAACGTTTTGCGATTGGAAGCAGATGCGAAGGCTGGATTCCTACGGCACGAGGTAATTGGGATGGGATTATAGGGATTTCGGGAGGCAAATCGGGGATGATATAGGGAGAGCGGATGGGAGGGATGAATGTCTCCAGGGACGGAGAAAGTGGGGGTCATTTTCTGCCCGATTTCATTCTTTGGACTACATTCTCTGCCCCAGCCTCCTTCTACTCCCATCTTCCGCAGATATTCACCAACTGCAATGCCTTCCTCTTCCATAATGATTTCTCTCCCTCTCCCCCCCCCCTCTCTCTCTCTCTCTCTGTGTGTGTGTGTGTGTGCATGCAAGCGTAGTTCCTTAATGACGTGGGTAAGGTACATTCTATTGATGTCTTGGTTGAATTCGAAGACCCTATCGTCCGAACGGTCCTTGCATCATTCGGGAATGGAGATGGAAGCACGTTACTAAACCCATTTCCTTCTGTTATTGTACCCAAAATGAATGATTCCAAAACGTGAAATGTATTCCTTGTCTTCTGTTCTCGCCATTCATTTCGTAGTGAAAAAGGGTAGCGTGGAGGCTCAGTTGTCTCGTCTTAATCAACGAAGATATTCTCTTACCCACGCAACGCCGCTGAGATTCGAGTTCTTTCCTCCGCAGATTCCATGAAAGCACGCGAGATCGATGGACCGAACGGATTCTCTCTCTTTTTGCTCTACAAGCGCATCTCTTCATACACCATATGTGCCAGAAAGACCTATTGACAGCTTAAAAAAAAATACATTTATTTTGTAGGCAAGGTAGACTTAATGGGATGCGACACCTTTTGGTGTCATAGAGGTACATGTCGGTAAACTATTGATGAAATATCATTTTAAAAAGTAAATTTATTTACTGTGTTCTAGAATCCTTGTGAAATGCGAACTCGGCGTAGTTAGGCGGTTTGGCCCAGGTATAAATTCTGAAGTTATATTCGTTTCTTTGGGATAAGACGTTAACAATAGGATTACTGGAGGAGGGCAAGAAGAAGGAACCCTCTCGAACAAGAACAAGGGGAAAATTTCCCTCTACGGATATGCACTCGGGATGAATTAAGAATGATGAGTTGACTTCTCACAGAATGAGAGAAATCATCACTGGTCGTACTCAAGAACAACCAGGTATGGCTTAATTATGATCACCAATACAGAGCACGATCACTCCTCTTTTTGCTTCAAAGTTGATGAAATTAGAAGGTCTCCTTCATTACTTCTTCACTTCTACCTGCCAACATTTCCCGAACCTCATTCTGTGACCGACATCTGTGATGACATAATTAAAATTTTGAATATTCTGTTTCCGTTCGTCAACTCCGGAGAATGTGATGAGAGAGGGTAAATATAGAAGCTTGGACATTCATCTGCTAAGTTTCTCCTACTATTCCTTCTCCAGTCCATTTTCATTCTCGCCAAACGATTCGTTATTTCGCCTTTGCTTCCTTCGTTCCAAATGAGTCTCCATGCGCATTGAGGGAGACGTAGAGAGAGGAAGGCCTCTTGATAATAAAAGATGAGCTGAACGAAATGATGAAATGCTAAGAAGCTCTCTAAGAAGAAGCTAAGAAGTAGCTAAGCACTTAAGAAGCTATACTGTACTTCTCTGCATCACTCGGCCACGCAGCTCTGTGCAATAGTTCTTTCACGGGCAGTCGGACACAAGGATCCGGTTTATCTCTTGAAGACATAGGTGACCATGATCCATAATTAATCATTATCGTTTCGACAAAGAAAATCTCTAAGAGGCTTCTCTTTGAAGGCAAGGATTTTTCAGGGGTACTTTTACGAAATGATCCTATAGGATCCGATGAGATTTTTGAAACATAAAAATCTTATAGGATTCTTATAGGAATCCCATAGAGTTCCTTTAGGATCCTATAGGATTTTTCCGTTAGGGTAGGAAGTACTCCGAGTAGACCTAAGCAACAGTACCCCTCTCCACACTCGATTTTTTAGGACATCTTGCAAGTCACAACCACTTCTTGGCGATCACCGATATGTCTCTCTGTTCCATCAAGTGTAGATTAAATTAATTGTAGGGCTCTAATTTCCTCAGGTTGGCACGGCCGAATGCTCAGTACAGAAAGCAATATAGTCAAGATCCATTACTTTCTAGCCTCCGAATTTAGTGCTTATCCATCTTATGGCTCCGGAGATTAGATTTGATGTACAGGGTGGTCCAGGTCAAGTGTAACAAAACTTCAGAGTCCCCTCCTGCACCAAATATTTAACTCATGTAGTTAAACTGTTATTCTTTGGAATCGTACGTTTCTGCTGTTTAATCTAGTTCTAAATATGACTCTTTTGAACTCAAACGGAGAAAATGGCGTTGGAAGTCAGGCGGTCGTTTGTCGTAGAACTGCATGAACAGGACCTAAAAGACTGTAAATTGAAAAGGCCTGCAAGAAGTTGAACTTGAGCCGAGCCTTCATCAAAAGGACATTGGATCGACACCTTGAGACAGGTTCCACCGCCAAACGATCTGGAAGTCGCAGGAAAATAACGAGAACAAAGAAATTGATCAGCCAAGTCCAGCGCCGGATTTGGCACAATCCCAACAGGTCCATCAGGAAGATAACGAATGAGATGAATGTCTCGAGGTCGACGATGATGAGGTTGGTGAAGAACAATCTAGGGCTCACCTCCTACCGGCTCCAGAAGCGACAGCTCCTCAGTGCAGCCACCAAGAGTAAGAGACTGTCCACCAAGAGTAAGTCGTCAGATGCTGGAGAAGCTCAAGAATGGTTCGGCCCCCAACATTGTCCTCTCGGATGAGAAGTTATTCACTGTGAAGGCCATCCCACAATAAGCAAAATGATCTGGTTTTGGCACGAAGTCGAGAGGAGTTTCATGACCGTGCTGGAATGATGTTCCGCACCCGAAAGCCGGCCTCGGTTATGGTTAAGGCCACCGTCACCAACAAAGGCAAGTCCCCTTCGTTTTATTCTCGAGGGTATCAAAATCAACTAGGACGTCTACATAAAATCCATCCTGCAAGACGCTCTGCTCCCCTGGGCTCAAGATATGTTCGGAGATGAGCCATGGACATTCCAGCAGGACGGAACAACGTCTCATATGGCTAATGTGACCCAGGACTGCTGAAGGAATAATTTTCCAGGGTTATTGACCAAGGAGGAATGGCCCCCGTCGTCTCCAGATCTGAACCTTCTTGACTACCCCACGTGGTCGATCCTCCAGTCGTAGGCCTGTTCAAAGCCCCACCACATTCTGGATCATATCAGGCAAGATTCAGTTTGCATTTGGGACGGAATTCCAATGAGAGTGGTGAGGAATAGTGTCAAAAACTTCGAGAAAAGATTAAAGGTCATAGTCAAGGCCTAAGGTGGCCAATTTGAGTGAAAATTACGTCATGTCTGATCCATTATGTGAGAAACATGCTATGCAAATTTCAAGTCAATCAAACTTGCTATTTCTAAGAAAATTATAGTTTGGTTCGTTACACTTGACCTGGACCACCCTGTGGAAGGGATAAATCTGAGTCAAAGATATCAGTCAACAGAGAATCTGATTCGCCATGCTTCAAGTCGATACCATTGAAAATACTTCAATAATTTATTGTTAATAAATGCGAGGGTTTTTTTTCGAAGGGTGTTGTGCTGGGTACAGTTCACAGGTTTGAAAAATTCATTACAGGCAAAGGAGACTTGGTGGGATGCGACATTCATTTGGACAGCGCCAACGACGTAGTCGTCAAATCCGGTTGTGACGTCAAAGCCCTCACTTACTGTGATCTCAAATGCATTGCCATCACTGGACTCATTGAAGTGCTTAAAATGTACCCGGAGTTCGCTGAGGAATTTTCCAACGATATCGTTCATGACCTGAGCTACAATCTCCGAGAGGGATACGAGGCTGAGGTGAGCAAATTTCCTCTAGTTCTCTAAGAAGAGCATCAATTAGGTTGCCTTTAAGGTTGCCAAAAAATGTACATTAACTTCAAATATATCGTCCAAAATGTATATGTGTGACCCCACTGGCGTAAGACCTTGAGTTATCCCTATAATGTGATTGCAGTGGCCTCAAGCACAATTGCTTCAATCGAATAACATAGTCACCTCTGACAGTCAGGAAACCCTATGTGACAATTAGGGACTCAGATTTACTAGTGCGCTTCAGGTCTTCTAGTTTTCACGTGACGATGTTATTCTCTCCAGAAAACGACAAATTCATTCTGAGATCTGAAAAAAGGGGTATCGAGTTACAAATCGCTTAGATATTGACACCATGCAGCTGCTCCCTCCATGTGAATGAATCAAATGAGAAGACTGGGATGGAAATATTTCATTCGTGTGGACGGAGCACCTGGACAACGTCAGTGTCTAAAAGTGTGAGAATGGCTAAAAAATATCGATGACGGGCAGTGCCTTTTGTTAAGAGAGAGTATATAAAATGAAGACTGAAGAAAGCTTTTTCCTTTCCTCTTGGTATTCATTCAAAAGTGGTCCTAACAGAATTCGGCCAGGATGTCATTGACATGCATGAAGAAAGTTTTTTTTCCGCGAAGCAATGTCTGACTGGTTCCCATGCATTTCCATTCTCTCCTCTCTCCTCACGAAAACTTTTCTTTCTTCGCTTTCTTCGTCAATCAAGCACGTGCTCACTCGAGGGAAGCAATCGACAGGGCTGTGAATTGCATCACTTCGAGGGACTCTTGTTTTATTACGGTTCTTGTCCCGCAAGATAGAACTCCTCCTTGCCAAAGTGTTCCTGACAAGGTCGAAACGTATCCTGCTGTTTTACGCTCTTCGCTTACCATGGCAAGGAGATAGGCATCGACTGTCCCGTTTTACAGTCAAGGGACTTCAGAACCAGACTGCTAAACGACAGGATGGACCAAATGAAACGTCAACCCGAATTTTATTAGGAAATACGAAGTATCGCTTAATCTAAAGAGGATTATGGGAACTCATCTACCATCTGAATACTTCGTGATCTTTCATCGGAACTTGTTCATTGAAAATTCCAAACCATCATAAAGTTATGATAGGTTGAACATGAGTGAATCGCTTGCCACCGCTGCGATGGTGCTGTCAAGTTGCTGCGGATTAGACTGTCGAAATCTGTCAAATGATTCATGTCATTGCAAAATCGAGGGAAGTGAGTAAGAAATGTCGCTGTGGCATGCCGAAAAAACATTAGATGGACACGTGGACGTTTGACGGTTAAGTGTGTGAAACGTTTACCTCAGTAGCAAGGAAGTAGTACTAGGATTAACTCCTTCATGGTAAATCCTATTGAACTTTAAAAAAAAGACAACTCCAGCAGTCGTTTGGTCTTTCAGTTATAACCTTTTTCCAGATATGCCTCAACTGATTCCCTGTGACCAAGACAACCTTTCCTCCTCGAGCTCTAAGAAGAAAAAAACGAATTGTGGTTTCCATATCCCATAATATCGGAAGTCATCACCGCCCATCGTACAATCAAAGTGGGGGGACTGAGGGACAATGTCAAGGAAACCAGGAAGCAGGAGGTTATGATAATCTCGGGATGAGGAAAACGTTGAGATTGTGGAAGAGAATATCTCACCCCAGGAGAGTCAGCGTCTTCTCTGAATCAACTGAAAGTATAGGGTGTTCCATAAGTCACTTGGGGATTTGATATTAACCCTTTCGCTGATACCGAGAAATACCTCTTCCCATTACTAACTTTATACTAAAATTGCTGTAATTATAAAAGAATTTATACAAAGCATCTAATATTTTTCATACGTATTGTTCAATAGTTGGATAATTTACAATAATCGTCGTCAGATGTCACCATTCATAGTTTATTATATATAAAGCTCAGTAGCTGAAATATTGCACAAAAATGCGTCACTGAAGGGGTTAATGGGTTTATTGGATTTATGTAAATTGGGAATGACAAGATATTTTGAGTCTCTAAAATGTATGTTGATCTGCTATCTAGTAAGTTTTACTTTCAACTTTTGTTTCTCTGATAAGGTACAGATAAGCATAAAAAATGTTGACGTCAGAATGAGTCAACATGGTTCTCCATGGTTGGTATCTCCGTCGTCTCACGAGGAACACGAGGGGACTGTCTTGTAAAGGGAGGAGTGGACCCAATATTCGACTTTTCCCCTTCTCAATATGGAGGCGAAAAATACTGTCCTCCTCAATACCTTCGTACAAGTGGAGGTGAAAGCCTCAAGCATCTCATCCTCCTCAGAAGCAGTGCTTCTGAGGAGGATAACTCTGAGGAAGACTTCCTGTCTCCGAGATAATTGCAGGCTAGCGGCCTTCCCTATGCCGCTTTCATACTTGAACTATGGGGGGAAAGCACTATACAAGGCCAACGATAGTCCTGGCCCTTCCTGGATTTTAACAATTGGATTGAAGAATAATGGAGCTCCGAATAGCCCAAGGCATGACTTAAGACATCGTTAATATATCATAATCAGTTAGAGGTGGGACACGCTTCTAAGGAGATAAAAGCAGACTAAGTCAAAAAGGAGGATCCTGCCAAGCACAGAAGAATATGAGATCCGAGACACTAAACTTTCCCTGAGGAATTGTTCGTTGTAAATCACTTTTTTCTTCATGTGCATAAAGTTTAATCATAAAGTTCAATTATTTATTTTCAGAAGTTTAATCTCTGAATCTGAGCAATATATTAGGTTTTTCTAAGCTACATTTTTATGTTCAGTGTCTTTGTCCTTCAGCATCGAGCGTGACGCTAGAAAGAAATAAAAGCCAGCCATGTGAAATTCAGGTCCCCAATACGGCATTTTTAATGTTCAAAATCTTAGAAGTGTTAGGCATCATTCTATCGTCCGTTTTTTTTGCTTTCAGCAACGTTACGCATTCATCAAGATCCAAAACTCTTAGATAATTGAAAGTACATAATGGAGTTTCCGCTTGATTCTTGTTCTTGTTCCAGCAACCGTAAGCACAGTCCATCCTGGAACAAGAACAACCGAACCGATTCGAATAGGTCAGGAATGATCTTGCCCTCATCTTATCGTTCATCCCCTTTCTGTGTATGTGCCGTTTAGGGGTCTTTAGTTTTGAACTTATACTGACTGCATTGCAATAAAAAAAAAAGAAGTAATGGTGTGAAATGTCGAACCGATGAGAACATTTGAATTCATCTTAGCGCAAGGGTGTTTACTTATAGAGTAACTAAGCCTCAAGAAGAACAGAAACTACTGAAAAGTAGTAACCATCGGACAGACCCCAGGCTGCCGCAGAGCAAAAAGAACGAAGCCGATTTCGAACAATAATACGATATCAATGCATTCGTATCGCTATTATTATTTTCTATAAAGCATTGAACAAAAGAGGCATATCTGGTCTCGCCTTAGCTTAAGAGCATCCACTTTGGAAGTAGCTAGGGTTGAACGAGAACGAATTATACTGGGAAGCACTTGGCACTGAAGTCAACAGGCTGCACTAGAAAAAATACCTAATTGACTGGTATACGACAGGTGAGATACGAATGGACTTGACTAATTGTGACTTTTAGGCATTACCAATGGCGATCGGCAAGTTTCTAGCCTGAAATGGTAGAATGAGAGTTTTATGTGACAGTTTCGCTGCAGAAGTTAGGCACAATCTTACATGAACACGAATGGGCATGTCATTGCTTGGCATCTCTTGAAGTATCCAATTTCTGATCTTAATCCGAATGTCTGATGGCATTGAAAATATGTGCAAAGAAATTTGAAGTAATGAAGGAATACGTACTATTAAAAAAATGCTCTGAAGAGCATGACGAGCTTATCGCTGATGTGTCGCATATTTGTTAAATTATCTGATACAGATAAAATATTCCGAACCAACTTAATTCTGACTCTTTGTACTGGAAAAGAGAAGCCTCTCTTCAGCCTGAGATGAGCAGATGGTCCGCATCCCCCCCCTGGAAGCATTCACGTCCAGCCAGGGGGAAAGAAGGAAAGCAATGGATTGCCTTTATTCCTTCTTTGTCTATTCCTTTCAGACTACACGTCTGCAAATAAAGCCCTCTGGATATAAGGAAGTCTTTTCTCCAGGTAATTCTTGCCCTTTTATCGCCATGTCCGTGTCGATCGTGCCATCAACTTTCTGTACCAGCAATAAATCGCGTACCTCGAATGAAGGCTAGACTCGCGGCCCATTTCTCAGAGTTCATGGAACTCTTCGAGCAATAGCATGAATCTTTCCCAGGTCTCTCTCTCCCTTAGTGCAGGAGAATAAAAGCAGATTTTCGGTCAAGCATACATAGGACACCATTCAAGAAACAGACGGACATTTTCTCCAAGAAGGTTCTTCAAATGAAGAGCTTTCAATTTCGAACGGGACAGTACATATTGATCCTTTATGTCATGGTGCTTATTAAAATTCCTACGTGTACAAGCTGAAATTCTTTCTTGGCGAGATTATCTGGAAAATCTTTTAGCGTAGGAAGGCTTGTGTGCAGGCGCGTAGTGTCTAACAAGGAAGAGAGAAGCAGGTAAAGGGGGCTGACTGATTTCCATCTTTCCCCTAATGTGTCATGTGTCAAATTGGTAAAAAAAACCGGATAGATGGGTCCATATGGGGCTTGGTTCGTTTGGGATAATCTCATTTCCATAAATATGATCAGGTTAAGGTAAAACGAGTCTGATGCTTGTTATCCCATTTCCTGCATGGTTTGAATTTCTAGAGGGGGATTATAAATTACTGGAAGGTCATTATTTGGAGGTCATTACTGGAAAAACACTAGTTTCGTTTTTTAGTCGCTCCGGGAAGAAAATGCAGATTTGACTCCTCACATTGTCTCGTTTCTTCATTTTCATATCGTCTCTCCCACGCTTGTTTGGACATAAATCCCTCGAGGGCAGAGAGTTGCAGAGAGAAACAATTTCTGACTGAAGTTCTTTCAGTGTTAAGAGAAAAGAGGGAAAGTCTATTCTTCTTTCCTATCTTGTATCTTCTTTTTTATTTCTGGAGTCTTCTCTCCCAAATGTAAGCATGAATTCTTCGAGGGGCTAATCTGAAACTTACCTTCTGCACATCACAAGTCATGAGAGGAATCTTCCCTCCCATTCGAGTCGTCAGAATCATGAGAGGAATCTTCCCTCCCATTCGAGTCGTCAGAATCAAGTTGCTTTGATATTTTTATTTCCTGATGAGATACTTCACAACCCACAGGCTTCAAATTTGTTAAATTGTTATTTGCTTTCTTCAAGCAATCAAGCCAAAAAAAACTGGACTATAGAAAGGATGTCAGAGACAGGTACTATTCGCACTCAGCGTCCAAATCAGATTAACAAATTTCAGTGGTTCCATCATACAACTGAAACTGCCTTCTGCATCAGATCTGAAAATTTCTCACTATCCTCCTTGCATCATTTATTTAAAAAAAAGTGCATGGAAAATTCATAGGTTCCCTTTTGGTTCATTGTACTTCAAGTGTGCAATGATCTGTACTCGAACATCTCATAATTCAAATTTTCTGCAGAAACCTTTCATGTGGCCCTTCTATTTTGGATTGCTTTGAATTGTCACTCCGAGGTATTTAACTTCTTGTCGTGCATCGATTCCTTGCTCTTCGACTTTATGGGTTGTATCAGTTGAACTTCCGTTTAAGCCTTCCTCCCGACGTCGACCCTCAATTTTTTTTAGAATTGTTCGATTTCCCGGAATCACAAAGCATAAGAGAAATTCAACTACGTTAGAACTTGATATGGTATTGAAAGCAGCCGAAAAATCAATAAATATCCCTATGATGTACCGGACTTAGCGGTAGAATTCAGTGAATACCAGCGATTGGTATGAAAAAGCGTGATTGCTGGTGAATGATGGGTATGCCGAAAGGCGAGACGCGAATATCTGTCATATTCTTGATTGGCCACTATTCATGTACGGAAGAAAGTCTTGGCTCTGGTACCCTATTTCCTTTTGACCTCTTGAGGAGCAAGCCGTGCACACCCAAACCAAATGTGCTTCGTTTTCGAAGAGAGATTGTAATATTTCACTCCCTTCCACTGTTGGCTATCGAGCAGCGCATGTCAGTTGCATTTATCACATGATTGACGGATCCGCGTAAAAAATGTAGACAATGGGAACTTTCAGTAATTTCCCGGGTTAAGCTTCAGGATTCGTGGTTTACGTAGGCTCTAAAGGTGCCAACAGCCATTAGTGCCTATATTTACAATCTCGACAAGGAGTTTCAACATCGGCAACAATGCCCCTTAAAACCCTAAAATAAACTTTGAACCATGACTCTTGAGTCACGACCGGACGCACCTGAATGCTCCCGTTTTGTAGGTCTAAGAGCAGCTGGAAAGTGCAAGTGAATTGAAATGTGACTGAGAATTCAAATGACATTCCCAGAAAAGAAAATTTTCACTGAGACATCGGCATCAGCGACAGAAACTCTAGTGTTCTCGAGAGAGAAAAGGCAAGACGTGAAGCTAAATCTTGAAAACAAGTCAGCTCTCGATTCGTTCATGCATTTCCAGTAGGCAATAGATTGAATAAACCAGGCAGCAATAGAGGGTCTGCTCTTGCCACTGTCCGAGGGTATATAGGAAGCTCCCGGGAGTCGAAAATCACGTGGATTCGGCCAATGAAGCCAGGAGGATTGCGTGAACCCTGGGTTGTGAAGGGAGAAATGGATACAGGGGAGAGAGTTATCCGAAGGGGGGAGGAGGGGAAGTAAGAGAAAGGAGAACACGAAACAGCACATCATGGCACGAAATAGAGATCTTTCCCCTCAATATCTTTCTTCGGGGATCTCAATGTGGATATTGGGGGGATCCGTGCACTGGCACACGCATCCCCGTATCAGACGTCAATTGAAGGCAGGCTGTGCTTTAATTTCGCCTTCCCATTTCGTAGTACCAGAAAGTCGGATTGAAAGCCCTGGCCTTCATGGTATCTTTTTTGTGTTCGTAGAACTAGTGAATAGTGAGTTTCGATTTTGGGCATTAAGCCAGAAGACCTATGGAAAACTTCTCTCCCCCCCTCTTCCTCCTTGCTTTCGCCATGAAATGCGACATGCAAGATGAAGAGGGCATGAAAGAGACGTATAAGCCTCTTACCATGATGTGGGAAGATGGGATCTCGCGATCTTAGGTAGTACGTCGACTGGCTACATTATCCTCATTCCAACTCAGCCGTTGCACATTACATGTCATCGTTGCTGTCCCTTGAGCAATGTCTGAATGAGAAATGTGCATCTCCTGTCCTTTGGAATTTGATAAGCATTTAAATTGGAGAACAAGTATTCATTTTCCAGGACATCAGGGAGTTGTACTAC